CCGCCCGCCATGAACTCCCTGGACCAGGCTGAGGGTGAGTGCGGCGGCCCGGAGCGAGCCCAGCGCCGCTCCTCCGGCGCGCTGGGAGCTTCCGGCTCCGCGCCTGGGTTGCCCGAGTGCGCCGCCTCGTCCCTCCGGAGCGGGCCCCGCCGCGGCGCTACCCTGAGGGGGGCGAAGCGGCCGCAGGAGGCCTCGGCTCTATCTCCACCGCGCTCCTGGGGCCGGCGCTCCTCCTCGGCCCAGACAGGCGAGCTGGGGCGGGGTCTCTTGGGCCACCTCCGCATCCTGAGGCTCGGGGGCGGGTGCTGTTGCTCTCCGGCCGCCCCGCGGAGGCGGAGAGCGGAACCCGCAGGGAAGGCCCGTGCTGAGGGGATCCGTGTGTGGGCCCGCCAGCAGCCTTCTGTCCCTGGGGAGGAGGGAGCTGCCCAGTGGGCTTTCCCTTTCGGTGCCCTTTCTCGACAAGGCTTCTTGACTTTAGCTTACTAAAATCCGCTCGTGCTGCGGTAACTACTCCTCTCTTCACGGGTGTTCACATGAAACGCGTTTATTAGAGCTTTGAGTCCCATCTAGCACATTATGCCAAGGCTTCTCTTGCACTTGGAACGTGACCTCAAATAGCCCTCTTACCTGAAAACATTGATCGTTTGGGTTACAAGTTCTTTGAAGTTACAGTTTACAGGATGTCAAAACCCTGAAAGGAGCTTTTTAGTGTCCAAACATAAGACTAGTAGAGATTCTTGAAATGCACCAGTGTCTCAGACTTAGCAGGTGTTTTGTATCAGATGCTAGAGGTAGGCATGTCAACAAAAACTGACAGTCTGGCATTGTCACGGCTTCGTTGTTATGTCTGTACAAGCTGTAGGGATCTCAGTCTTCTTGGTAGTTCCAGGTGCCAAAGTGATAAACTCGTGGTTCTTAGAACATGGATATCTAAAAATCAGTTAAAACTTTTAAGTTCCTGTTTTCTGAAAGGGTTTTTTTTTTGGCCATTGTTTATTTTAACGCTGTCTACATTATACGAGTGTTTTCTTGCGAACTGTGTTATCAACAGCTTGATTTTATGCCTACAGGGTGCTATTCTCAAATAGCAGGCTTTCATGTGATGCCTCATAGTCCCCCTCTCACTTCAGTGACTAGTTGTAGGGGTTTGTGTTAGTCAGGGAGCAGTTAATTAGCTTTAATTGCTGGCAGTGGCGGAGGTGGAGGACAGGCCATAACTACAGGGCTGTGGTTATAATTAAGACTACTTAACTGTTCTGTGGCTGAAGTCAAGGTGCTGTAATCTTTTCCCCCATAAATTCACCTGCAAAACACTCGGGAGTAAATTTACAATTTGGGAAATGGCATTAGTTACTCTCTATCTGCTTTATCTTGGTAAATGATTTAGCAATAGTTGCAAGTTGAAGGGGAAAAAAAAAATCGAGAGTGATGCTAACTGAAACACTTTAGCTGCAAGTTAATGCTCATAAACTCAACTTCAGGTAGAATTCTAGCTTTGATTGAAATGGCAAACATTGACCTTGTTGAACAGAAAGTTAAATCTAACGGACTTCAGGTGAAACAGTTCCTTGTAGACAGACATTAGGTGGCTGGCTAAGATTTCTTTTTAAAACAAATTAGGACTATGAACTTGAAATGCTGCTTGGCATTTAGCAGCAATTTCAATGGAAAGACCATGGGAGAATAATGGTAGTAATAAGAAAAATCTGTTTAAAGAAAAAAAAAAATCGGGCTAGAGTTTGCTGTGAGTTTTTACGTGTGTGTATATATATATCTATATCTATATATAGATATATCATGGCACTAAAAGTTTGTACAAAACAAAGTCATCAAAGCCATACTGCTACAAATAATCCCTTCAACAGCTGGCAAATGGCAACTTTTTTTTAAAATTACCATTATTGATAATAGAACTTAATGGTTTCCTGATGTACGTAATACTCCAAAATGTGATTTTTTTTTTTTCTTTGTGTAGGGACTATTTAAGCTATTCTAAATCTAACTCTTGGTATTTTTAAAGATGTCTAAAATACTCTGATTTCTCAACTATATCGATTTTCTGTAAGTGAGAGTGTTTCTTGCATTTAGTATAACTCTGTCATTGTACTTTTTAGCTAAAGTTGTGTGAAGCTACTTCAACTGTGCTTTTATTGCATCTAAATGATCATTGCATTGGTTTTCTCTGCCTGTTTATAAAATGGCTGTGCACAGAGGAAAAGTGAATTCCTTTTATCTTTTACATTAAAATTTGACTAAATAAATGAAGGTCTAATTCTGCTTGATACACATTCTCCCCAGATCTCAAAGCTTTTGAAAGAAGACTTACTGAATATATTGCATGTTTGCAACCAGCTACAGGACGTTGGAGAAGTAAGTTTGATGTTCCAAGGGATAAATAGGATTCTGTCTTTGAAGCTTTTTAGATTTACTATTGTGTATCTTTGATTTATGTTTGCCCAGACAAAAATCTGTGCTTAAATGCTCTTTAAAATTTGTGGTGTACATTCAAACATTCTTCAACAAGATAATACGAGATACCAGAGATACTTTAGTCAGAGTTAGAAAAATGAGGCCAAGATTGAATTGGCTTCAGGCTGAATTATTCTGAAAATGGTTGGGACAGTAAGTTGTTTTATTTGTTTCTTTTTGTTTGTTTTGTTTTGCTTTTTTTTTTTTTTTTTCAGGCTTAGACTTCCCAGACAGTCACCATAGTTACTTGAACTGAATACGATTGCATGAGAGTCCCTACAAAATAGAAGGTGAAAAAGTTACAGCAGCGTGCCTTAAGGGCAGAATATGTCCTCACCTTGGTTCTACCAGGAAAGTGGGAAGGAGGGAGGAAGGCAAAAAATACCCCAGATACGCTGCCAACTTGGCGATCAATAGTCCATGGTGGAAACAGACTGCTTTTTTGTTCTAAGATGCTGCCAGAGTTTCTATACTCAAAGAATACTGACATTTTTTAGAATGTACAAAATAGCATCTTTTCTCCTGAGAGGCCAAGAGGTTAATCTGAAATGAAGGGACTGGAGGAATGACTACTTAAAAAGCAAAAACAGCAGAAAAACCCACCCTATCCTGAAACACAACAACCACACACTACTACCCCGAAACCCCTTGTTTCAGAGCAATTGGGAGGCAAGTGGATATTTCTAAGTAGATCTGCACAACTTGTGTGCACCTAGTGTATGAATGCATTTGGCTTCCAGAATTCCTATATCCTGTCAGATATAATTAAAAAAAAAAAGTAGTACTGGAAACTTCTAACCATATTTAAATGAGGTTTGCATAACTAGCATTATGTTCACTAGCTAACTTTTTTTCCCCTAACTGCTTGTTTTGCTAGTTTTGTAATTCATGTAAAAGACTTTTTACTTGAATTATAATCGGGTATTTAATTCAATGTTCACTTTTCATCCTGTTATTCTTGAAAAAAAGTATTTTTTTTTCTTCTCAGCTGTATTTTGGAAACATAACTTCTTATGGTTATTTTTTAATTTTGTTTTTTGTTTTGTAATATCGGTAAGGAATATGCAATTCATTAGTAAATTATAGCAGTCTTACAAACCTGAAAGTAGTATTTAATGAATATCTGGGGTTTGTTTTCAGATTCTTTCCTATGATGCTAAAGGCTGGTAACTCTGGGTGGTCTCTTTTTTGTGGTGGTGGGTTTTTTGGGGTTTTTTTTTTCCCCCTTTCCCCCACCAGTAAAAGACTATTTGCATTCAGAACTTTAGGCTCCATAGAAAACACTTAGAACTGCCAAATGTCCAGTGAAAGCTGCAATGCTTTATGGGTGTGCAACAGAACATGAGCTTTCTCTGTATTTGTTGTTTTCTTTTTCTGCCAACCCCTGATCCCCAACCCTTTGCAGTCTCTCAAAATCAGTCTAGTGTCTTGTGTTACTCTAATATGTATCTAGCATTTTCCATTTGCAGTGAATTGATTATTCTTCCTAAACCATCCTGGATGTGCAGAGTTTTTTGCTAATCTTCCTGTGCTAAAGCTGCCATGCCTTCTCTCTCGTTTACATTTTGTGTTTTTTTTCTGTCAGCTTTGCTTGCTTGTAACTGGGTTGATTGGGATGGGGAGCATATCACAACTTAGTTGTGCTAATGAAACTGCTGGTGCTAATGCCTCAAGCTTTTCTTATGTAGAAGAGCTAGCAGGATGGAAGCTTTAGTTCTGCTCTGCAATTTAATGGCACTGCATTTCTGTTGCCTAGACTGCCTAAGCTCAAATAGCATACTGAACACTTGGTACAAATCTTATTCCAGTCTTTTAACTCCTTTGTGCTAGCTGTGTTGTTTTAGCATCTTTATTTTTTTTCAAAGCCTCAGAATGTTTTTATTTGATAGAATTTAGATTTTGGTACCTACTTGTCCTGTCCAGAAAACTTGTAGAGTCTTGACAGTTTCACTTAATAGAAATTTCTTTGCTTATTTTCACATCTGCCTTCCAAGTAGAAGCTTTTTCTCCCTCAGAAGTGGTAGAAGAATTAAATGCTTAAGAGCTGCAGCTGAAAAATAAATGCTTTTTAATAGGAGCGAGGTATACTGTTTATGACTCTGTTCTTCTCTTTATCAGTGATTCTGATAGTGGTATCAGTGTGCACAGCAACCGGTGCTTGGAATTGGTTAATAGACCCGGAGACACAAAAGGTAAAGATCACACTGATTCCAATGTAGTCTGTTTCATGGCTTGGTGTTGCAGTCGAGTGCTACAGTATCTTGCAAACAGAAAGGCTGAAGGTGGTTCTCCCATGAAGCTGGGAGATCATTTTTAGTTAAGCTCTCAAGCTGTCTGGAATTGTTATGGAACATCTCCTGGGACAATCCCTGCCAAAATGCTACACCTTGAATGCTTATCTAAGGAATTGTTCACAAGTACTTAGAAATGGCTAGGAGCAGTATTTCTTTTTAAATTTAAGTGAAGTAGACAGCAACTTTGTGTATGTTTTAGAAAGTATATAGTGGGACTAATCTGCTTTTTTTCCTAGGTATCATTTCTCACATCACTTTGGAATCACCCATTTTTCACAATTAGCTGTATTACCCTAATAGGCTTGTTCTTTGCTGGAATACATAAAAGAGTGGTGGCACCATCAATGTATCCTTCGATCGTGTGTGTTAGTGTTGTAGTTACTGCTGTTAGTGAAGTCTATGCTAATACTGCTTGTTCAGTTGTTACTTTGTGTACAAGCCTTATGTTACCTACATTCCTTGACACAGTCCACACAGTATAGCAGCCCGATGTCGAACGGTTTTGGCAGAATATAATATGTCCTGTGATGATGTAAGTGTTAGTGGTTCATTGCCTAAACCTTGTTTTTAAATAAATACAAACAATTTGAAAAGGGACAGGCTTTTTTTTTTTTTTTTCTGAACAGCACTTGTACACACCTTACAAATTCCATGTCTGTAAAACTGGAATGTAGAATATGCAGTATTGTTTTGTGTTGTTTTAAACTTAGCCTGTAAAATTGAACTTGAAGTGCAACTGTTGGGCTCAACTTTCAGAGTCTAAACTTTTTTTTTCTGTCTTGCAGACTGGAAAATTAATTTTGAAACCTAGGCCTCATGTTCAATAAGGGCTGTCTTCCTTCAGTTTTTTCCACTGCCATGGAAACCAAAAATGACCTTTTTTAAGGTAGTATGACAGCAAAAAAACGAACAGGACGGGTTGTCACTGCCTGGGAGTGAAAGTCTTACACAGTCGACAGTGAAAGTGTGCAATATTACTTCCTTGAATATTTATCCAAATTCTTTGTTATCATCTTTATCAGTGCTTTTGCTACTTCCGATTACCTCTTTTTCAGTATTAGTGTCACTTTTTTACTTCAGCTAGAACAGAACATACAGGTGAAGTATGTTAATCGGCCATGAAGTTGAACTTGAAAATCAAACCTCATTTGTGTTATGTGTCTGTGTAAGCTATTGTAAATAGCAGATCGATGCCAATGTCCATGAAAAGAAGTAATATTTGCTGTATGGATTTTTTTTTTTGTTGTTCTCATGAAGAGTATTGAAAGGAACACTTACCATTCCCGTGATGTTTTATTAGCACACTTACTCATTACAGCTGTCCTTGTCTCCTGGTCACTCTTCTGGAACTGGTTCAGAGGCTTGCGGAAAGACTCTGTGCTGGAGAAAACTGGTGTCTTACCGTTTAAGAACTTTGCAAATACATCAAGGATCACATTTGTCACATTGTATATATAGTGCACCAGCCACTTTCATTGTGGTCATACTAGTTCCTTGTTTGATCAGGTTCACAGCACTGTTATTTTAAGACTCATAACATTTAAAAAATTGTCTTAGATACTCTTGTATCTTCTCGGTTGTAAGGCTGTACTGTATCTTAAATCCACGTGCCCATTCTGAGTGGATTTTTATGCTGTGATAGTCTGAATATGAATAGTATTGCAAATGCATACCTTCAGATTTGGTGAAGAAACTCTAGAGAGTGCCACAATAAAATAACAACATTTGTTATTCAGAGTGTTCAAAACAAGGTGTGGTTGTTATATGCATAAACTGTAACTTCTGAATAGCTAAAACTGTAAAGAATTTTAAGAATAAGTTGTTCAAGGTGCCTTTTTAATTGTTTCAAACTCTTTTAATTGACTACAACTGCAAAGCTGTTGCAACTTCAGTAACTTCTACTACAGGGTAGGCTGGCTTTTAAAGGCAGCCTATTGATGTAACGTTGTTAGTTGAGACAGTAAGAATTGTCTCCTGTAGTTTTTCCAGTAAGTCTTCTGCCCATCCATTATTTTTAACTGCTGTGTATTTTGTAGGTAAATGTGTATATAATAAATTCTTTGTATAAACACGTGTTACCTTCTTTTGTACTGTGCAAATGCAGATCTCGGATGAACACAGAAGAACTTCAGGAGTTTACAGCTGAGGTCTGTAACTGGAACCGGACCAACACTTCCTGTATTTGATGCGGTTCTTACGCTCTCAGATACTGACCCCAGGGAGAAAGTCCTTCCGCTTTTCCGTCCCACAGGTCCATCCCGCCCTCTCGGTGCTGGTGGAGGAAATCGTTTCATTCGCCGTTTGCCTCCTGTGAGTTTTAGACCTGGGGAGTCATCCCGAGTAGAGGCCGTGTCCTGGAAGAGGCGTGAGGACGCCGCTGGTGCGGGGCTGAGGAAGCCCCTGGCTGGAACGGGGGGAGGCGTCCGCCGGCGCGGAGC